TATATAATATGTCAGTATTTGATAAGTTAAAATTCTTGTTAAAAGTGGTCACTGCGGCTAAACCCGAGGTCGGATGATCGTATGGAGAAAAGCAATTTATTCCATATTTGACGTAGTTTAATGTCATTCAACAAATCGCTTTTAATTTGTAAAATATTTCTAAAAACCAACAAACCTATGTCCCCATTACAGATTTTATCAACCCCCATTACAGATATGCACATCCTCCTTTCTTAATATTTATTTTACTTAAATTTGATGTAATTTCACTGACATGTTCTTTGAATAAAATATTATTATTATAATAATAATTATTATTATTATTATTATTATTATTATTATTATTCAACATGGTAGTTTTACTAAATTAATTATTTTTACAATAAATAAACAATAAAATAAATTGTATCAAATTCAATACACAATTATATACACGTCTCCATTATTCAAAATGGACGCTGGTCAACCAGTATATAACATTAGCATTAGTTCCATATATTATTATTATCACAACTAATAAATTATAAAATAGTTTTAGTGTAATCCCCGGTAGAAAATGCCTGACTTTTGAAAATATTGCACACATTTGTGAGCACTTCTACGCAATAGAATGAATATGTGGTTTGAATTTCAACAGGCGGTCAAAAGTTATGCCCAATATCTTTATGTTTTTTGTTTCAGAGATTCAGTTTTTAGTGTCATGTATTGGGTCACTTGATATATCTTAGTCTTCGTATAGATTTAATAGAGATATTTTAACGAAATTAATTTTATAATTTAAGTCAACATTCTCAGGCACCAGAAACCAAGTTTCATAAAGATCGGGTATTTAGCCTTTTTACAGTAAATTTTTAAACGAAGTCAGGCAAAATAATGTAATCCTATGGGAAGGTGTCTATTTTTGTGATTTTGACGATTAAAATCGCATGTAAATTGATCTAGCTCAAATAATAATAGAGATACTAGAAAATCCCTACTCTTCCTATATTGTCAATATCTAATGTATAGATTCATATCATATTTATTGACCAACTCTGACCGATGCCTAAACTGTGGCCATTTAATTATCGGTAGTCGACACGATTGGCGGCCTGTGTTCGTTGTGTTCGCATTTAATTCCCGTTATAAGTAATGTCGTGATAACTGCTCTAAACTGTTGTCGGATAACCAATAGTGAACCCCAATAACCAAATAATAACTTCAAACATATCTACCATAAAAATATTTTTAATCTAAAAATATGCTTATTTTTGGTAAAATATTTTGGCCCAAATTTCAAAAAATAATTCCGACCGACACATTTTTAAAATTTCCAGTATAAAGGCCAATAATCCGATCTTTATGAAACTTGGTTTCTGGTGCCTAGGAATGTTAACTTAAATTATAAAATTAATTTCGTTATCCTAGCTACACTAGAAGTACCTAAGGACTAAGATATATCAAGTATACCAATACTTAATACTGAAATCAGTAGTTTTGGTTTCAATAATGTGTAAAAACTTTTACTTGTATTTAAAATCAAATGATTTTCTGACAAATATTTACTTAAAATTTTCATATTTTGGTTCACTTTGTTAGTCGGACGCATCGCATAAACTTTGAAGTATGCATAGACATGGAGTTAGTTATCTTGATATAGTATATGGAGACTATAGGGTAGCCAACTCAGAAATGTTCAATAGTGGACAAATATTAGACATATATTTTCTCTATTTTTAGGTCAATCTTAGTAACTAAAAGATAATATTAAATACACCAAATTTAATATAATAAAAATAATTTTCAAATTAAATAGAGTAAATACAATATATCAAACTATAGTAATTTGTCAAAGATGAAACACAATCGAATTCATGTGGTGTAAAACTTTTGACAAAAGCGTCGATACCTGACAATTGCCTCGTCATTGCGGGTCAATATCGGGCGCTTAGGTTTTAGACAATTCAAAATAATAATAGCATCCGAATCACTCTATAAAAGCAAAATATAAAATTAAGTTAGTTATATTAATTTTATATATTTAATTTAATCTGACCCACACTAATAACCTGATGTAAACATAAAGATGTTTATTAATATTATTGACAATATTTAAAATTTAATAACAATAAATACAGTTTTTATCAATAAATGAATGCGTAATATACCTGTATATTCACCATATATTTAAATGCTATAAAATATAGCTTGCTGAAAATAGATGAGTTAAAGAATAATATTCCTCTTGTTAACGTTTCGCCATGATGCAACGGAACAACAGTACCCAACATTAATACGGTGCCCAACATTGAGCCCTCTGTGCCAATGGTTAGCAGTTCCATCACTGGTGACACGTGACACAGTTTAAAGGGTAAAGTGACCAACTCTATGCCGAGTAAATAGATGGTCATTTTACCGGTGATTGTAGGCTCCCTCTCTGTGCCGTACGTGCTATCAAATGAAAATGTTAAACTAACTATGTACGGTATGAGCACGTGGTGTACGTAATAAAAATGTTGTAAGTCGGATGCATTCTCCAGTATGATCTATCATATTAAAAACAAATTGCTAATTTGTTATACTAATTATTCATATTTTATTTTATAATTAAATTACACTGTTTTAAATTAAATTAAATTAAATTGAACATAGATGACAAATTAATGACACATTAAAGTACCTGATAGTTACAATGCATAAGGCTGATGAAACTCCCTTTCAGTGATAGAGTTTCATACTTTTTTCCGAGAAAATCCTGGGGGTAGTGATTGGGGTCCTTATCCTCCGAGTGGTGCCAAACATATATCACTTCATTCTTCTCTATTGTCTGCCATTTCTTTACCACAGCTTTCAATGCATTTAACTCAGACTCTATGAAAACGTTATGAATTCATACAATAATTTTAATTTATTTATACATAAATAATAGTTATAGTTATAGACATACCGTTGAGATTAGGTATGCGTTTGCACTGTCCGTCTCCGCCAAACCTCCAGCCATGGAATGGACACTGAATACAGTCGTCGCCCGACTCTGACTCAGTCACCACATGTNATTAGGTATGCGTTTGCACTGTCCGTCTCCGCCAAACCTCCAGCCATGGAATGGACACTGAATACAGTCGTCGCCCGACTCTGACTCAGTCACCACATGTCCGCCGACACCGAGATTTGCGCCCAAATGTGGACAATAGGCGGACAACACGTGGACAGCACCCGATCCACCCCTGAATGCCACCCATTGTTTGCCACACATTTCAAAGGGTTTCACACCATTGAGGGGCAGATCTCTTGATGTCATGATCACAACCCAAGTGTTAGGATATTGAGGGCTTTCACTATTAGTATTACCATCATGTGACAATACTTGCTACGGAGGATGAACAAAAATATTTTTTAATTTAAGATTTAAACATATTACATAATACTAATTTGTTTGTAATTCTCTCACTCCTTCTCTCTCACATACACATAAGAAAATTTACCTTGGTTTTTATATACGTTTTGTTGTAATATAAATTGTACAAAATATAAACCACAATTATAACAATCATATATTCATACATTTTTGCAACAATTATATTATTAAAATTTCTTAAATATGTTCGTTATTTAAAACATATGTATTTAACTTACTTTATTTAACAGATGGTTATATGAATTTCTCTATGCAAGAGAGACACATCTCTGAATGTATCTGTGAATATAACGCCGCGTTTTGTAAAGGCATTAATTGTTATAATAATCCCGATATTTGCAGTACTAATCAGTTTAGTACAGCTCTCGTACCGGTGGCCGAGTGTCCGCACAATTGCCACTTAAAGGCCATCTCTAATCCCGTCGGTAAGACATACCATAATTTATCTCATATATTAATTACTAATAAATATAGCTAAATAACATACATGTATGTTTTATTTGTGTTATACTGTGCCTAAAAGGCCAAGTAATCAAATGGTCCCAATTCTGCGCTCCGGCCAACGATCTGACAAAAGGGTTTAAATGCCGGACAGAGTTCCGTATCGGCGCCCGTATTGATGAGTGCACTTGTGATCGCGATTTCTGTAACCATTCCTCGCAATTGAAATTACATATTATTTTTGTTATGATATCTCTGTTGCTATCAATAAGACATGTCATTTGAATTGTGTGTGTAATTATTATTACTGAATGCTTGACTTTTAATTTTGTTAATTTTTGTTGTATAATTTAATAACACGAATGAGATTTTATAAAATTGTTTTAATTAAGAATAATACTTTTAAAACACATTAATTAAATGCGGATATAAATTAAAACTTTATAAATTATAAATCATACTGTATATACAGTATATTATACATACCCGCCCCCTTTTGACTCCCCCCTTTTAAATGGGTTAAAACCATAGCATTTCGAAATGACCCGAAAATTTCTATATTCTTGTCACGTGATTTTAATAATTTTTTGATACAAAGAACTAGACATGTGGAATTCTGTTTTACAGTTTACAGAATTGATCTAGCTCATTCCGTTTGGGAGATATAACGATTCTTGAGGCGACGAGTTTTTCTGAACGACCTAATAATAAGTACTTTACATTAAGTATTTATACAATTTTGCTCTCACTAATTTGTAACAATTATATTATTAATTATCTTTTATTAATAACAATTTTCAAATTACATATAATAAATATATAAAAAAAACTTAATAATTAGTCAAAGGTTAAGACAAAACCGAATTTATTTGGTGTAAAACTTTTGACAAAAGCGCCGAAACCTGACAATTGCCTCGTCATTGCGGGTCAATATTGGGCGCTTAGGTGTCTGACAATTGAACATGATCATTGCATCCGAATCAAGCTATAAGACCAATATATAAATTAAAATTAGCCATATCAATTTACACTTTTATTATCTTTGATTTAATCTGACCCACATTAATAACCTAATTAAAACATTCTTTGTTTGACATAAAGATGTAGTTTAATATAATTGATAAATTATAAAATTTAATAACAATAATCTTACAGTTCTTAATAAATGCAATGTATAATATAAAGTGTATAATATACTTTACCTGTATATTGGACATATACTTAAATGCTATAATATATAGCTTGCTGAAAATAGATGACTTAAAGAAAAATATTCCTCTGATTAACGTTTCACCATGCTGCAATGGAACAACAGTACCCAACATTAATACTGTGCCCAACATTGAGTTTTCTGTGCCCATGTATAGCAGTTCAGTCACTGGTGACACGTGACACAGTTTAATCGGCACAGTAACCAACTCCACGTTGAATAAATAGATGGTAATTCTACCGGTGATTGTATTTTCAGTCTCTCTGCCATACGTGTTATCAAATGAAAATGTTGAATTAACTATGTATGGTATGAGCACCTGGTGTACGTAACGAAAGTGCTGTAAGTCGAACCCATTCTCCAATACAATCTATCATAATAAAAATTATTATTGTTAGAATTATTTGATTTATTTAATATCAATAATATAATTTATTAATATAATATTTTTAAAAGAATTTGTTTATATTAATTCTTTATATTTTATTTTATAATTAAACTATTAATATATTGTTTTAAATTAAATTACTATACTGATTATAGAAGGTGATAAATTAATGACACCTTAATGTACTGTACCTGATAGTTACAATGCATAAGTCTGAGGAAACTCCCTTTCAGTGATAGATTATTATAGTTGTTTCCAAGAAAATCTTGGGGGTAGTGATTGGGGTCCTTATCCTCCGAGTGGTGCCAAACATATATCACTTCATTCTTCTCTATTGTCTGCCATTTCTTTACCACAG